AGGGTTTGGGGTCCCGGCCGGCCTGACACAGTCACGCTGGACCACAGGCCCAGGGCCACTGTCCGTTCCCTCCGGCGAGGAGCCCGGGCCGTGTCCAGAGGCCGAGGGGCAGCGAGGAGGAGGAAGCGCAGCGCAGGGCTTGTCTCCCTGACGCAGCCTCGGTCTGACCTGTGCTTTCCTCCCCGAGACTCGGAAGACCCGTTGGCAGGACTTCTCTCCGACGATGAGGAAGGAACCACCAAGAAGCTGCCTGGGGCAGAGGGCAAAGCGGTTTCTGAAAAGAGCCCAGTCCCAACCAGAGACCAAGGTAGGAGGGGGCCTCTTGTCCCGGGAGGAAGCGGGCGGCGGGCGCTCACCAAGTTTTCCGGTGCCAAGCAGAGACCTGCCAGGTGGGGCCGCAGGACTGAGACCCGGGATCAAGAGATCTTTCATCTCTGAGAAGGAGCGGGGGCAGCGGGGGTGAGCCTGGGAGTGGGGCGCGTTGGGGGGTCAGGTCTTGTGGCCGACCAGGCTCTCGATGCCTGCTGCCCTAGCCAGAGGTCAAGGTTGCAGGGAAACGTTTCCGTCCACCCCTCCGAGCACCAGCGCTGAGGGCCACATGCCTGCACTGTGCCCCGTCCTGTCGCTCAGGTCCCTCCATTCCCCTCACTCCTGGGGACACCCCCGTCCGGAAGAAAGAAGAGCTGCTCTTTGATGACGAGGACGACCTCATGGCCGCCCTGGGGTTTGGAGACAGCCCCAGAGCAGAGAGGAGGCAGCCAGGAGACCAGTAAGGCCCTTCAGAGGGCAGGGGCCCTGGCCGAAGCTGGAGGGTGGGCACAGCGTGCCCCGGGAGCCCCTCTGTTCACACGGACCAGCCCTGTGTCCGCCTGCAGGGAAGGGCCCCGCCCTGCTCGCTCCACGCTGGATGAGCTGCTGGGTCGTCTGGGCACCGGGGAGCCCCTGGAGCTCAAGTTGGACGGGAAGTGCCAGGGTGAGGAGCCGGCGGGTCCGGAGGTGGGGGCCCGGGAGCAGGTTTGCCACAGCCCACAACAAGCACTGAGCCTTACGTCGGCCCACACGCCGTGCCGTTCACCACGGAGACGGGTGTCGTGAAGCAGTAATCACCGCGTTCTGTGCTGCTGCTTTTATTTTTATGGCATTTGACTCATCAGGACGGTATCGCAGCTCACTGCGTTCTCCACCTGCTCCGTGTGAGAACCACGCAGTGCTGCTCAGGCGCCACCCACGCAGCTCGGGGCCTCACCTCCAGGCTGTGGGGCAGGGCTCCCCGCGGTCTCCCAGTGCTGGGTGGGTGACACCCGGCCCCTCGCCCGCCGCTTGCAGAGCAGCCTCGCCTGACACGCCTGACACGCCAGGCTGCCGGGACAGTGTCACTGTCCTGCCCTGGATCACAGGCTCCGTCATTCACAGACAATGAAGACACCTGGGCCAACGGGGACTTCACCTTTGGGGCCTATCAGCCCACCGTGGGCTCCTCCGGGGGCCGGCAGTCCCGCCGGCAGCCAGGCAGGTAGGCAGGCCTCGCCCGCCCACGGCAGTCCTGCTGGGAGGCAGGGGCCGGGGCTCTGCGGGTGTGAAGGAAGGGGAGGCCGCCCAGCCCCACCTACAGATACAGGCCCAGTTCCGCTCCCAGCCTCCGCAGAAGGAAGAGAATGGGCTGAAGGAGGTTTTTTCTCCCAGTGTAGATTTTAAACTTTATATTAAAATAATTTCAAGCTGACAGGAAGGTTGTCAGAACAGTCAGTTCAAAGAACTCCCTCCTGCCCCTCGCCCAGACTTCGCGGTTGCTGACATTATGCCATGTTGGGCGTACCGCCCTCTTTCTCTCTAAATAACCCTCTGCACACAACACGCTTCCAATCCCTGCTGCCCAGCCAGTGACACACGGGCAGTGGCTGGGTAAAGGCGCCGGGAACAAAATGACTGTTGCTGGAAAGCACTTGACCAGCTCTTCCCTCCGGACGGGTGTGCCTTGGCTGGCATTAGGGCCTGGTCACTGCATGTGGGATTGTCACGGTTCCTGCGATGGGCTCTAAGGTGTCTGTGCTGCCGCGCTGCCCCCTGAACGGTGTGGACACCGTGTTCACAGGGCCTCAGGCTGTGCCAAGCCCCTGGGCACCCCAGGCTCCTTGGTGTGGGCCTGGCAGTCACCCCACCCGCCGCAGAGGGGAGACCAATGGGGGCTCTTGGACAGGCTGCTTGGCCTGCCCTCGACCCCCTCCTCTCTGTCTTGAAGTAGGTTCTTTGCAGAAGATGGCATAGACTGCAAGGGAGAACCAGGCTCCAAGCAGACTGCCCCAGCGACCACCAGCCCCACCGCCCCCCGGAAGGGGGGGGCCGACTGGTTGGGCCTCAAGGATGAAGATGAGGACCTGCTCCCTCCCTCTCCCACCAGAGAGCCTCGCAGGAGAGGCGGCTCCGCACTCCCCACACCCTCCATGCCCCATCCCGAGAGAGAGCCTTCTGCTCCAGGCCCGCGCTCTGCCCCAGCGGGGCTGCCCCTCTCCTCCGGGACACAGCCACCATCCGCGGGAGCAGACCCCCCTGCCAAAGCCGGCCGGCCCTGCCCGCCCGGAGTGTCTGCGGAGGAAGAGGAGGACTGGCTGAGCCATGCCTTGTCTCTGAAGAAGGCCCGAGACCTGGCCAGAGAAGAGCGCACTGCGGCCTCTAAGGGCCAGATCTCGGTGGGGGCAGCGGGCCGACCCCCTTCCAGCAGGTACGGGCTCGGGCTGCTGTCTCCAGCGGAGGGAGGACTGGGCCGGGTCTGGGAGCATCACCTCTTCCCTGCGCTTCCTTCCCTCTGGGCTGCACAGGGGTTCTGACTTGGGTGGAGAATTCCTCGGCCAGCCTGCTGCGAGCCCGCGAGGGCTGGAGCCAGCAGCTGCTGGAGGGACCGCAGGACCAGCAGCACTAAAGCCGCCGGGCCAGCCTGCCGCCTCGGGGTACGTCTGCAGCCGGGGCTGGGGGTGAGGAGAGACTGGGGGCCCAGCCAGGCCCATCTCTGCTCACTGAGGCCTCACTGTGGAACTGCACCCACGGCCTCTCCAGCTGAGGGCGTGACCTGTTCTCCTTACCTGCCCCCCCGCCCTCCCCCCGTGTCCTCAGGGCCCCTGTGACCTGGAACCCAGCCGCCTTGGCCCTCTATGCAGGCGACTCAAAGAAGGACACAGTCCCTGGAGACCTCTCTGGCACTGGTTTGTTTTCTGCTTTGGGGGTAAAATCTGGGTGAGAAAGAGGTACTTGGAGCTTCTTTCGGGGCCCCCAGAAGACAGGGATGCTGGGACACATACACGTACACACGCACGCGCGCGTCCTGGAGAAACAGACAGACCTTGGGCCTCCTTCCAGCTCAGCTCTCTGCTGTTTGTTTTCAGAGCCTGCAGTGCGTTTCCCGAGCTCCCAGGACCCCACAGGGCTTGCTGGGCCGGTCCAGGTAGGGAAGGCGGACAAACGGGCACAGGCCTCAGCCCCATGAAGCAGCTCCCCGCTTGGGCGCGGCAGTGGTTCGACCTGGTGGCTGGCAGGATGGCAGAGAGCGCACCGGCTCTCCCCCCAGCATTCCCTGCGCTGAGCCTGGTCAGGCAGACTGGTGCCCACTGCCAGCACCAATGGGGAGTTAGAGGTGGCACCCGGGCGGCGTGGCCAGGATGCTGCATCTGAAAGCAGGGCTGCAGATGCCTTGCTCCATCTCGAAAGCCGCCTCTATCCTGGCCACCCTCCCTCCGTGCCTCCACCTGCTCCCAGGTGTGGCGTCACCTCCGACCCTGGGCCTGAGGAGCATGTCCCTGGTAACCCAGGGCCCTTTTGGAGATGGGGGTTGGTGGCAGGAAACAGGCTGACAGCAAAGGCGTGTCATAAGCTTTCGTCGTCATGAAGACAGCTGGGACATAGCGTTCATCTAGGAGTCTGCCCACCGTGGGAGGCTGTTGTCCTGAGGAAGGAGGGACCACGTGACTCTCCGGGGCCCCTTCCTCAGCTGCTTGGTGTCATGTCCTTGACCCCATCTGCAGCCCCCGGTCAGGTGCAGGGTCTGGGAGGCTCAGTGAGCAGAGGCCCGAGGTAGCTGAGCTCTGCTGAGTCCCCGCCCTGCCGAACCTGGAGCATGTCTCACCTCCTCAGTCCCTGCTGCCGGGCACCGGATACCAACAGCAGCTCCTGGCCGCACAGGTGCAGCTTCAGAGTGGCACCGCCCAGCTCCAGGCCGAGCTGCTGCAGAGCCAGGCGCAGCTGGCAGAGCTGGAAGCCCAGGTGAGGGTCTGGGCCTGGGTGAGGGTGGAGGCAGGGCTACGATGGAAGGCATCACTGTGCGGGCCAGAAGGCTTCCCCAGGGACCTAAGGGACCTGCCTCCCAACCCCCACGCTGTCTCTCTTGCCGTCTCAGGTACGGAAGCTGGAGCTGGAGCGGGCCCAGCACAAGCTGCTGCTGGAGACTTTGCAGCAGCGACACCAGGCCGACCTGGAGCTCATCGAGAATGCTCACAGGTACCCCTGCCCGGGGCCTTCGGGGCTCCCCAAGGCTCCTGGCCTGCCCCAGCCATGTGCTCGGGGAGGCCCTTCCGGGGGCCGCCCTCACCTTCTGAGCCCCACAGCTGGGTGTTCTGTTGGCAGAA